AGGGCGGGGCCTATGCGCAAAGCGCACTCAGACCTGCCGCGGGGCGGGTCCCTGCCGCCTGCAGGCGGAGCAGCTGATGGAGGAGTGGAACGAAGACCTAGACGGCATGGAGGGTTTCGTGCTGGAGGGCAAGAAGTTTGCACGGCTGCCGGAAGAGGAGTTTGGCCACTTCTATACGCAGGACTGCTACGTCTTCCTCTGCAGGTGCCACCTCAGCACTCCCTTCCCTAGGTCCCTCCCCTGGTGCTGAGGGCTCGAGCCCCTGCTCACAACCCTCCAACCCGGCAGGTACTGGGTGCCCGTGGAGTACGAGGAGGAGGAAAAAAAGGAAGACAAGGAGGAGGAGAAGGCCGAGGGCAAAGGCGGCGAGGAGGCAACAGCTGAGGCAGAGGAGAAGCAGCCAGAGGAGGACTTCCAGTGCATTGTGTACTTCTGGCAGGGCCGCGAAGCCTCCAACATGGGCTGGCTCACCTTCACCTTCAGCCTGCAGAAGAAGTTCGAGAGCCTCTTCCCTGGGAAGCTGGAGGTGTGCCTGGCAGCCCCGCGAGCCCGAGGCCAGGCGGAGGGGTGTGGTGGGGCCCAGACCCAGGGAAGGTTAGGCTCCTGAGGGGAAGGTGGGGGTCCAGGGAGCTGCCCCTAACACTTCCACATCCCCAGGTGGTACGCATGACGCAGCAGCAGGAGAACCCCAAGTTTCTGTCCCATTTCAAGAGGAAGTTCATCATCCACCGGGGCAAGAGGAAGGCGGCCCAGGGCGCCCAGCAGCCCAGCCTCTACCAGATCCGCACCAACGGCAGCGCCCTCTGCACCCGGTGCCTGGCTGGGGGAGGACACAGTGGCGAGCAGGGGTCAGGGAACCAGGCCTGACTCCTTGCTGATGCCCCATCCCTTCCACAGGTGCATCCAGATCAACACTGACTCCAGTCTTCTCAACTCCGAGTTCTGCTTCATCCTCAAGGTGGGGTTGTGGGTGTGAGCCAGGGCTCCGTGGACCAAGGGGTGGGGTGTTTGGGGGCTGAGTCAGCTGCAAACACCCCCACCCCCACCCCTGCACACTCCCCAGGTTCCCTTTGAGAGTGACGACAACCAGGGCATCGTGTATGCCTGGGTGGGCCGGGCATCAGACCCTGACGAAGCCAAGTTGGCAGAAGACATCCTGAACACCATGTTTGACACCTCCTACAGCAAGCAGGTCAGGAGGCAGGCGGGCGGGCACACACAGGGGAGCCAGGGCAGGCAGGGGCCCTGGGCTGGACTGGCCTTTCCCGCAGGTTATCAACGAAGGCGAGGAGCCTGAGAACTTCTTCTGGGTCGGCATTGGGGCACAGAAGCCCTATGATGACGACGCCGAGTACATGAAGCACACACGGCTCTTCCGGTGAGGCCAGGGCCCCGACCCTCCCCTCGGTCCTGGCGCTGCTGCTTATGACCTCTGGGCTCACCTTGACCCTTGATTCCCAGGTGCTCCAACGAGAAGGGCTACTTCGCAGTGACTGAGAAATGCTCCGATTTTTGTCAAGATGACCTGGCAGATGACGACATCATGTTGCTAGACAACGGCCAAGAGGTGCGATGTTGCCACTGGCCCTGCCCATCTGAGGCGGCGCCCATAGACTTATAAATGGGAAATTTGGGGCCAGGAGCAAGGGGGTGTTCCCAGGCGCCCATGCGACCGTATCTCCTCTGCTGCACCCACAGGTCTACATGTGGGTGGGGACCCAGACTAGCCAGGTGGAGATCAAGCTGAGCCTGAAGGCCTGCCAGGTAAGCTGGGTGGAGGGAGGGCCGAGGTGGGCCTGTGGGCAGGGCAGGGTCATCACCCAAGGCTCGCTGTCCCCTTGCCAGGTGTATATCCAGCACATGCGGTCCAAGGAACATGAGCGGCCACGCCGGCTGCGCCTGGTCCGCAAGGGCAACGAGCAGCACGCCTTTACCCGCTGCTTCCATGCCTGGAGTGCCTTCCGCAAGACCCTGGCCTAAGACAGGCTGGCACAGCCCCAGGCTTGGTGAGGAAGAGGAAGGGGCCCTCATCCACTGTCTGCTAGCAAAGAATATACTGAGGTGACAATGCCTGCTCCAGCCACGTCCAGTGCCACAGTCCCCAGTAGCCTCAAGCAGCACCAATGGGGATGACCCTGACAGGTGCCCTCAGGGGTCTGGGAAATCCGATTCCCTCCACAGTGTGAGCACGTGTGAAACCCCCTCACTTCTCTGCCAGGGATAAAGCAGATGTGGCTGCCCTTTAAGAGATATTAAATGCTTTTATTTTCAATATTAAAAATCAGTATTTTTAATATTAAAATGGCGCTAATTTTAACAAAATAACAGAAAAAAACCCCAAGGTACAATCTACAGGGAAACTCATCTTGGGCCCCCCCCACCCCCCCCAAACACACACACCTGACTAGGCCCCAGCTGTGGATGCCCAGCAGAGCTCCCAGTCGCATCCACACTCAGACACACACACTCATGACAGGCTGGGGACTGGCCCAGGAGCAGGTACCAAAATAGTTTTAGAAACAACCGTCCAGCCCAGGCGCTAGAAAAATACTCTTTGCAAAGTGAGGGGGAAGGACGGTGTGTGGAGCGGGAGGTGGCACAAGGTGCTGGGCCCCACCTGTCCTCTTCCCTAGGCAGTGGGCCCCCAGGGCAGCCAAATGCCTGCAGGAGGGCTCAGTTCTGGCCCAAGTCCCAGGCCCACACCCTGGGGCTGGTGCTGCTCCAGGGCCCAGGGTCAGGCAGGACAGGACAGCAGGTCCCAGTGGAGCCTACAGGTTAGCAGGCGTGGGTCTATGTTAAGGGGCCAGGCAGGTGCCAGGGATCCAGCACTCCAGCTCCGAGCAGGGCAGGTGGAGGTCGGGATAGTTCTGGCCTTCCTGGGAGAGGGAGAGAAGAGGTATCAGCAGAAGGTGAGGGAGGGCCAAAGAGGGCAGATGGATTGCCACAGTGGCCGGACCACACAGGTGCTGCCACTGTCTCCTCTGCAGGGCAGGCAGGGCCCTTCAGTAACCGCCTGAGATGGGGTTGGTGAGTCTCCAGGTGGGTATCCAAGTGCCAGGCCACATACGCCCCACTGAGGCCAGGGAGGGGCACCAGACAAAGAGCTGGGAGGTGTCCATGTCCTGTGCAGGGTGAGGCTATGGCCCACAGTTAGGTGGCTGGGAGCACGAGGCAGCAAATGCGCTGGGCAGATCTATGGGCCCCAGATCTAGGTGAGGATCCACACAGACTCAGGCAGGGTAAGTCAGCCACTTGCTGGGCCCAACCGATGAGACCTGACCTCATGCACCTCAGTGATCTCATCTATGAAACAGACTGGCCAAACCAGCTCCCAAGCCCCAAACTACTGCCACCTCTAAGTGGTTTAATCTGGTCTTGTCCTAACCACCACCTGCCACATGCAAAGGCTGAGGGGCTGGCCCTGCTTTTCTAATACCCAGCCATGACATTGGTGTCTGGGTGAGCCCCAATTGCGGCACTCCATGGAAGGCAGCCAGGTTTCAGAGTGCCACCAACACAGGGGCCTGCCAGGGTCCCAGGTGGAAGAGCAGGGCCAAGTGGTACCCAGGCAAGGGCTGAAGGGGGTGGACGTTGCCAGTGGTGAGGACCAGGGCCCCACCCCTGCAGCACCTCATTTGATCAGGATGGCACAGGCATGGGCCTCATCTTCTGCCAGGTTCCTCAGGTTCCTCTCCGACTCCTCAGAGGAGCTGCAAGATGGGGATGGTGCTCAGGGGTTGGGGCAGGGGAGCCCCTGGCAGCCCTGGGGAGGAGGCCTAGGGGACAGGGCAGCCCCTCCTGTGGACCTGCCCACCAGCCTCACCCCAGAAAATCCTTCACATCTTCCACTGTGACGTCCCCTGTCGTGTCCAGCGTGGTGTCAGCACTGGTGGCTGAGTCGATGGACATGGGTGAGAGTGCAGCCTCGGGTGGCTCTGGGGTGTCTGCAGGGAGCAAGTGATCAGCCCTTACCAGGACCGTTAGCACCCTCTGCACCTGGGGGCCTGGGGACACAGACCCAAAGGCAGCCCATGGTGAGGAGTGGCACCAATGAGCACACAACCACCCATCTCCTACAGAAGCCTGCCCAATCCCTGAGCTATGTGAGTCCTGACTCCCTCCCCCAGGGCACTGTGGGGCCAGGGTCTGGACCCCTTTCATGCCCCCCTCACCAGGTCCCTTGCTGTGGGCTGGATCAGGGCTTCCATCAAGGCTCTGTGGGGCCAGAAGGATGCTTGGGGTCCCGTTAGCCTGGCTCAGCTTGGGTGACTCTCGGAGCCTGTAACTGCAGAGATGGGGCCATGATGGGGACCATAGGTGGATGACTCGAGGCTGGCACCCTAGATCCTTGCCCTCCCACTCCCGCGCCCAGGGAAGGCAATCTCAGGGGTGGGATGAGACCTGGCCCTGGTCACAGGTCCCCCAGGCTAGGGGCTGCCCCTCCACCCACCTGGCCTGGGTGGCATCACGGGGCCAGTTAATGTCCAGAGAGCAGAGTGGCTCTGTGATGTTCCGGGCACTTAGGGAGAAGCGTTCAAATTCTGATGGGGATATCAGGTAAAAGCCTGGGTGGACAGAAGAATGAGGAGTGCAGTTAGGAGGTGCCACCAACCACAGCTCCTCCGTGGCCTGGGCCAGTGCCCACCCGGAGTGCCCTTCCTGCTCCCAGGCAGTACTGGTCCCGCTCAGCTCGCTCGCCTGAGGAAGGCCTCCTCGGCCTCTGCCCCGTCTCACCCTGGCCATGGCGCGTGAAGACACATGAAGCGATGCCGCTGATGTCCTCCTTCCGGATGCAGGAGTAGTGCACCTGGGGCCGCAGGCCAGGCACCGAGAAGACGTGGACGTCACCCAGGTTGGTGAGGCAGGCCAGGCAGGTCTCAGCATAGTCCTCGCAGGCCACACTGGCAAACGTGGCCAGCGCCACCTTGCGCACACGACAGCCCTCATGGGCCGTCAGCTTGAACTTGGTCTTCGCGCTCACCTTGGGCAGTGTGAACACCTGACAGCAGGTGGCCGGTAAGCACATAGCCTGGCCCTGTCCTCATCCCCAGGGCCCCTCACCCTCATAGCTGCTGACCCACCAGCTCCCACCACAAAGCCCCGCTGCACTGCCACGTGGCCTCCCCTGCCTGTACACCTGACTGCCCCACTAAACTCCAGACTTCACACTACTCCAGAAACCTCCCAGGCCCTCTCTCGATCTGTGACAAAACCAATCACAGAGCGCCAAGATGATGAGACTGGCATCCCCACCAAACCTAGAGTTCTTTCGAGGCAGAGCCCCTGGGGACTGGAATCAGGGGTCTGGGCAGGGTACAGGAGCCTCGTAGGGCACAGTGAGATAGGACTAGATTCCTGCCCTCCCAGGGGAACTGAGCAGGATCACGGGGTATCAGGGTTCTTCCGTAGGAGTTCTCTGCTGACTGGGGGTGTTTTCTGGGGTGCAAGGGAATTAGGGTCCCAACGGTGGGGGATACAGGCAGGAAGGGGTTCCAGAGGGTCCAGTGGTGTCCATGAGGTTGGGGCCTGGAGGGGAGTACCCCCCAGACTATAATGGCTCACCTTGAACTGCTCCTCAGACGCGATGAGCACAGCGTGACCACCCTGCATGTCAGGTGCCTGCGCCAGGTCCCGTGAGGCCTCGTAGGGCTCGGGCAGTGGGCGGCCACGCCCGTCCAACACGGCAATGGCCACCACAGGCGCCCGGTGCATCAGCTGCACCTCCTTGCCCAGCACGGCCTCCACCGCTTGCTCAGGCCGCTTCTCACCACCCACTGCTGCTGCCGGCACCTCCAGCGCATAGGCGAACACGGAGCCTGAGTTGGTGCCAGCCCACATGGTGGGCCCATGGTGGGCCCCTGCAGAAAACAAATGCAAGAAGAGGGAGCTCCCTGTGGGCCAGGCATCTCCCCTGTGGTCTCCCCACAGACTGCAGGTCCCGCCCTGCCTCTCTTGTACCCCTGCTTCCTAACTATGACACCCTGGGACTCAGGGCTGGTTCGTTCCTGTCCCATGCCTCCCTGGTGACCTCCAGTCTCAAGGCCTGAGACCCCAGCTCTATGCTGCTGACTGCAGTCAGAGCCCAGGATGCAGCCCTCCTGCAGAGGCCCGAACAGTTGTAGCGCATCTGCACAGGATGCCGATGGGCACCCAAACCAGACCGAGCCCTCCAGACCCATCCCACTGCACCCTCAGCCCCCATCTCAGTAAACGCAGCTCCATCCTAGCATCACTCAGGCCCCAAGCCCCAGAAGACCCCGACTCCTTTCTCCACCCCCGCGTCCCCTTGCTAGTCCTGTCGACAGGTGCGCCTTGTCTCAGCCCTGCTTCACCCCCTTCATCTTCAGTGTGTTCCCTATGTGGCAGCCAGAGGAAGCTGCCAAGCCTGGGGACACCTAGGACGCCCATCCATCGACCCTGCTCTGCCTGTGTGAACTGAACCTCTGGGGGCAAGCTTTAGTGGAGAATTGGAGCTCAGCCCAGCAGAAGCAAGAGCAGACTCACTACCTGCTCTCTGATGACCCGATGGATCCTGAGGCAGTAAGTGTCTGCGCAACTCAAAACATGCCCAACAGGAGCCCCAGCCGGCCATGAACATGAACCTATCGGCTTTCTCAGGCCAGTGGAACAAGTAAAAACCCCAGGCTGTCCTCCTCTGGGTCTTTGTAGTCAGAAAAAAACAAAAAGTCAAAGAACCCCCCACCTCCAGCTGCACCCGCCACATCCAGACAGTGGGAAAATCCACTGCACAAAGACTCTCGACAAATAAATGGCATCAGAAAGCTGAGCTCATAGACCAAGCAGATGACACTCAGGAATTTACATCGGTTCTACAGGGCATGATGTGAGCAGTGACTGTCAGTGACATCTGTCAGGAACACGCTGAAGCGCTTGTGTCTGGGTTTTCGCTTAAAATACCCCCGCAAAAAACCAGCAAAGAGTGTGGGGGAGGTGGGCAGACTCCGCAAGGGGCACACGGCTGGCAGCAGGCATGTGAGATATGTGGGACAACTTTCCACCTCTCTATTTTTGTGTATGTTTGAAATTCTCCCATTGTACAAGTTCAAAATCAATCAGTGACTCAATCAACAAACCCAGGACCTTCCCAGGGCTCCCAGGCCACCGAGAATCAAAGCCAGGTCCTCGGCCTCTGGCCAGCAGCAGTACCTCCCTGAGCCACACTCCTCGACCCTCACCTGCTCCACTCCAGCCAAGTGGCTGGGCAGCTGCCCACATGCATGCCCACCCCGGGGCCTGGGCACTGGCTGGTGACCCTCACTGTCATCCACCAGGCCTCAACCTCCCTTCTCCTGGCTCAGATCTGAGAGGCCCATCCAGCTCACTCAAAAATCCCTTACCATCCAGCTCCCCAAGGGACACTGGGGGTGACCCAGCAGTCCCCCTGGGGGAGCTGGATGGTAAGGGTTTTTTTCTGAGAGGGTCTCACTCTGTTGCCCAGGCTGGAGTGCAGTGACACGATCTCGGCTCACTGCAACCTCCGCCTCCCACATTCAAGCAATTCTCCTGCCTCAGCCTCCCAAGTAGCTGGGATTACAGGTGCCCGCCACCACGCCTGGCTAATTTTTGTATTTTTAGTAGAGATGAGGTTTCACCATGTTGGCCAGGCTAGTCTCAAACTCCTGACCTCAGGTGATCCACCCGCCTCGACCTCCCAAAATGCTGGGATTACAGTCGTGAGCCACTGTGCCCAGTCACATTCAGTAAAACTTTCAAACCTCCTGGAAGGTGCAGTCCCACCACCCATCTCCCATGTGGCCAACTGAGGCCAGCCTCCCCAACCCTTGCCCCTTCTCTGCCCCTGCCTTACCATCTCGAAGGAATGTGTCGGCAAAGTATAGGCAACGCACGACGCCTGATAGGGAGTCATCGGCAGAGCGGGGCTCAATGCGGCGCTGCACGGGCGTCATCTCCACGTCATGGGGGCAGGCCTGCTCGGCCAGCTGTGCATTGGCTTCCTGCAACTGCCGGGCAGGCGCTCCTGAACACCATCTCCCTAGCACCCCAGCGGCTTGCATCCTGCTTTGCGCCCTATGTTCTGTTACCATTCCTCCACCACCCAGCTCAGCTCACTCATCCCTCTGGAGGGCCCAGGGGCTGCCAAGGGAGGAGCACTGAGCTAAGCAGGCCCCAGGGGTCCCAGACCAGGGCCAGGCCAAGGCACGGGACACAGGCACAGCTCCCGTGCAGCCCACCCCAGCTCACCTTGCTGCTGGCATTAGCAGCCCGCTTCTTGCCCGAGACACGGCTCTTGCGAATGCGCCGGAAAGACTGGCGCAGCGACTTCTTCAGAGACTTCACCCGGGAGAGCGGCCCCTCCATGGCCAGGGAGTCATTGGGGTGAAGAGTGCACCTGGGGGCAGACAGGGTCCAGCTGTGCTACAGAGCAGCCTCCTGGAGCAGCCACCACACTCCTGCTGGCCTGTGGAGGCACCCAGGTCAGGGAGTCACAGCCCCTCTGGCGCAGTCCTGTGGACCCAGCTGCTGCTGGTGCTGAGAATGTCCTTCTTGGAGCTGCCAGGTTATTTCTTATGGGGCAATGGAGGTTAGTGGGGCCTTTGCCACACCAAACACAAGAGGCGGAAACAGAAGCCCAGACCCCATCTCGCTGGTGGCTCCAGCTGCCCAGCCGCCCCCACCCCACACACCTGGCCAGCACAGGGCTCTTGCGCTGGTAGTCGAAGAGGCCAAAGCCATGACTGGTGCCAAAGGCCACGAGGCTCCACTCGGTGTGGAGTGTGACAGCGGTGACAGCAGCTGGCGGCAGGCACTGCACCAGGACACGGGGCTGGAAGCCAGCAGGCCAGGGCAGCGGCCCCGTGCGTGGGCTCAGCCGCTCGTGGCCCTTCCACGTGAAGCCCTCGCGGTCCTGGAGGAGGTCTATGATGGCCACGCTGACCGCCTGCTCCACCGGCACATCACTGAGCTCCAGTACCAGCACCTGAGCCCACAGCCAGGCAGGGTGAGCATCAGCACAGGGGAGGGGCCGCCCTGGGCCCCACTCAGCCTGTAGCCTCTGAAGCAGCCCCAGCCACCACCAAGGTGGTTCTAGGACTGTCTTCAGTTCATCAGCTACATAAGCACTCACTGAATGCCTACTGTATACCAAGGCCCTCGCTGAGCACAAGGAACACAGTGATGACCAAGACACACTAGTCCCTGCCCTCTGAGGGCAAATGTTCACCCTTACCCTGAGTCTTTATCTCCCATTTAGCAATAAGTATGAGCGCCGGAGCACAGCACTGACATGAGTTCCCGCCCCTCCTCAACACTGTGGTTCCCCCAGCAACAGGCGCACTTCCCATCTGTCCTCACCCCAGCCAGCCCCACCCAGAGCCCTATTCCCACCTTGGCTTTTGCCTGTGCCAGTCCATCTCCCTCTCCACCAGACCTTCCAGTTCAGACCCATCTCTTCCAGAAAGCCCTCCCTGACATCTCCAACCCAGGGGACACCCAGCCCTACCTGGCCTGCAGTGCCAGCCACCACCATCTGGGCTGTATACTTGCAAAGAGCAACCTTCTGCACGCCAAGCCGGGGATCGTCACTGTAGGGATCGAAGCAGCCCACCTAGAGGGATGGGAAGGAGTAATGAGTCCAGGCAGAGTTGGGACCAGCTCATCAGGGCCAGGGGAGGGGCCCACCTTGCGGAAGGGTGGCCAGTCGTCCTCGGCAGCCTGGGCCAGGCTGTCAGCGTGCTCACAGTCCGTCTGGAAGAGGCCAGCTGTGCTCAGCTTATAGAGCGGCCGCAGCGCCACACCCGAGGCATCCCAGAACCTCACAGTGCCATCCTCATGGCTGCAGGGAAGGCAGATGTCAGGGCTACCCCTGGGTTCCTGTGAGGCCTGCACACCCCTCCATTCACTCATCTGATGACCACTCACTAAGCACCTACTGCACGTGCCAAACACTGACCAGAATCTTATTGTTACAAAAAACAACAGGCACCTACTGTATACAGCACAGGCGCACCGTGCACCTGCTATATGCCAGGCCACATGCACCACATGCACCTGGGCCCTTTAAACCACAGGGTGGAAATGACCACCCTGATTAACAGGAGACGGCCAAGGGGGACATGTAGAGAACAGAGGACTACGGGGGTTCTGCCTGCACTGCAGCAGCCATCAAAGGTGATCAAGAGCAAGGCAGTCACAGAACAGAGCGTGGGGCATCCCGGGGGAGGAGCTGCCTGGGGCCCGAGGCAATCACGTAGGTGGAGGAGCAGGAAGACTGCAGAGGCCAGGAGGAAGCAGGGAGGGGGCAGGGGAAGTAGACAAATCTATGGCGCAGCCTTGGGACACAGCTGCAGAGCCCAAGCAGGGCCCCGGGCAGTGGTGAAAGCCCAGAGGTAGGGTGTGAGAGGTGTGTGACTGTGGGGCGGGTGTGAGAGGTGTGTGACTGGGGCAGGTGTGAGAGGTATGTGACTGTGGGGTGGGTGAAAGGTGTGTGTGGGGCGGGCGTGAGAGGCGTGTCACTGTGGGGCGGGCGTGAGAGGTGTGTGACTGTGGGGTGGGCGTGAGAGGTGTGTGATGTGGGGCGGGTGTGAGAGGTGTGTGACTGTGGGGCGGGTGTGAGAGGTATGTGTGGGGTGGGTGAAAGGTGTGTG